TCTTTCCTAATGCACTCTCCCTTGCTGGTTGACATGTACATACACATTGAGAGCCTCTGTACCAGAGTCAAATTCCTTGTGTGTCCGACACACCTGGCCAATAAATCTGATTCTGTTCCTGGAAACAGCAATAGTGGAAGCACCCATGTTAAATGAATAGGAAATATGTGATTTAACTCAAAGTGCTGCCCCAAACATCTCACAAGTCTAGTGCTAACAGTGCACTTTGTCACTTCAAGAAGCAGTTAATAAGGCCTGGTGGTCTATACTTGTCTTGAAAGGATGGGAAACAAGTGGCTGACAAAGGCTGTAGAGACTTGTTTTTAGTGCAGTGTGTGGCAAATAGAAATATGTGCAGATGGTTGGACTAATTGATTCAGACTTCTTTGGACGAGGCTCCAGCAATCTGCCAGCAGCACGGTTGGTGGCACCCAACCCAAACCTGGCTCTGCTAGTGAGGCACAAAAGCAGATGGTTAGAGGTGCAAACAGAGATAATCAGACAGAGGCATCGCTGATCTGTCTACAGTGTGAGTGAAGGTGGTGTAGTAACTGCAGCCTTGGATATCAGGAGAGTTTTACAGAGTGTTTTGTTAATTACACTGCATCTATCTGCATGGGCTAGAAGTCTGAATGGTGTGTGAATTCACTGAAATCTGCACTGAGAGTCAAGTCTCAAGCTCTTGATGCATATGAGGCTCAGGCTGCCTTGTTTGTGAACAGGACAGTGGTTTCAGCCTCTGTGACAGACATTTAAACAGCAAGTGGAGAGGTCAATGTATTTGTGTGGCGTGCACAATCATTACCATGCTGTAAGTGTACGATAAGAAGGGCTGCTAGATTTCCCACAGGCAGTTCCCTGCAGGCATTTTCTACCAGTTGTTTAAAGGGTAAGGTTAGTTATTAAACATACATGCACTGAAGTTAAATGCACATTCATAAGCTCAACCTATTTTTAATATATGTAACATTTTGAGCAGAGATTCTGTCGGCTTTCACACATGGCACATTACCGTAACATCTTGGGTTTGAGTCGAGCTGTAAGCCTCTAATCTCTCTGTTACTAATAATACTACACTACATGGTGTTTGTTGTAGCCTGTATTTCTGTTATGGATATCTAAAAGTTCACTGGCGATTTGTGTGTAATCTTTTGACCCATCGTTCCCATGCCGTTCCCATGCCATTCCCATTACATTTTCAAAAGCCGTTCACTCAACAAAAACCTATAATTTCAGTCAAGTAGAAATCCTGTTTGACAGAAAGCGATGTTTTTCATCAGAAAATATTGTGAGGCTTGCATTCAGCGGCAATGAGATGTCAAAACTCCACAAATTGCCTCTGGTGTGAAAGCTTTAACAGCATTATTGATGAAGTGGGGAAAGTCTGTAAAGGGGAAATGAGCAGTCACTCATCCTTTGATTTGGAAAAATGTGGAGGGTCTGGGTTCAGTCCAATGTGGGAAGTTGGGTGTAAACTAATGGGCTATTCACCTCCTAAAGATCAGAGTGTGGCCAAGGGGAGCAGCACCCAGTAACACACCTGTTTTTAAAACATAGGAAAGTCGAGGAAATCTGTATTTACAAAAGAGAAGAAGAAAAGAGGGGGAAAATGGTAGGCAGAGTTGGTCATGCTTATGTACCTGTCCTAAATTTAAAAGCTGTTTGCATGTTGGAACTCGTTGGGATCAGCTTTACATAAGGTAGCATGATGCCAGGGATTGCTGTGGTGCTGCAGACTGAGTTGGCTCATCGCCACAAGTTAAAGACTGTACAGTAACTGATGGTGGAAACTGGTTTTAATGTGGATACACTGTATGTCATATTTGGCTGTTACCTGATCTGCTAAACGTGGTCAGTATTGGCCCGGTAACAATCCAATTGATCCGTCCATGGTCTCAACTCTTAACACACCAGTTTAATGGGTCATTATAAGGATTGTTTATCCTACTGTATGATTTGATGAAAGAATATTGGATAATATATTAGATTCTCTTGGGGATTTTTTTTGTCTTTATTACAGACAGTAGAGTTAGATGATGAAATGAGGTAGAGAGAGATGCAACAAAGGTCCCTGGGCAGACTTCAGTTCTTAGTTGTATATGTTTTCTTTTCACCGTTTGTCTTTTCTCTTTATGCTTCTTTACATATTTCTGTCCCCCTTTTTTCATCTCTCTCCTCATATGTATACAAATGCGATAGGTAGCTTTCACATGGACATATATTACTGCACATTTGTACCAAACCTTTGGTTTCTTTAAAAAAAACACACATTGTATTGCAGTGTTTGTTTGGTTTTGTTGTCTGCACACTTGCCCCAGATGTCAGCATAATGTTCCAGACAACTAATTCCTGTATCCCCCTTTTGGTCAGACTCAGAGCAGCAATTGTTGGAAACTATTAATGTAAAAATGTTGTTTATTTGAAAAGCTACAGTATGGGAGACTCACACGAGTTGCATTGATACACACTACAGAAAGTCTCTACAACAGAGGTGGTGAGTGCAACGTTGGCTTGACTCATAAAGCCTCGATAGCTGCATTTATGTGAAATACAACGGGTTGAAATAAACCAGAATTATCTTTTAAATCTAGTCCCACACAGATTTACCTGACATCATTCTGTATATCATAATTGCCCCGTGATGATACTTCTCATGATTTGTTATGTCATTAAGTTTTCTTGTTTTTCTTTTCTCTCTGTCCTGAAGGATGACACCTCTTAGACAAACCTGCCCCATCTCCTCCCTGTTTCCTCACCCTGTCCCCAGAGTTCAAAGACCTTTATCAGCAGATTGATCTGTCCTGAGCACTCACCCAGCCCTCGCTGTTTGGCCGTCAACCAGGGGAGGCGATGCGACGGTTCATCTACTGCAAGGTGGTGTTGACCACCTCTTTAGTGTGGGTACTAGTGGACGTGTTCTTGCTGCTGTACTTCAGCGAGTGTAACAAATGTGATGAGAGGAAGGACCGCTCGCTGCTCCCTGCCCTCCGAGGTGAGTTCACATCAGTGCTGCGACACCTCTCACAGAATAGACGTGATGGGGCAGCAAGGTTTCAGGACTCCGTTATGAGATGTACATTACTACCTCTCAGACTAGGCTCCTTCTTTCTCTTTCCTTCTCTTGAAGGAAATAATAATAATGTAAAGTAAAAGTATTAACACAAAAATGTATTTAAGTTTTAGTAGGTTATTTGATGCAGAAAAATGTTATATTATTAACAGCCTATTACTCATGCATGTGTGTGTCAGATTTTGACCTTATCATATATTTTACCCAGTGACATGAAACAGGGAACAGAGGTTTGCATTTGACATAACAGTCTGCATGCAGCTGTCTATTTTTGCACAATTTGTAGTCATCCATCTAAACAAAACCCCACCAGACCACCACAATGATTCAGAACTTTTACAGTAAATGTAGTAAATCTTTCTCCTATTTAATTGTAACACGTTGCAGATAAAGATCTAGTTCAAGTTTCAAATTGTATCTGTGTGTGTGTGTGTTCCTGAAATCACTCTAAACCAAATACTGTATGTCTTTGTTGGAGTTCTAATCCTTACGTGGCCCCAAGTAAGCAGGTAAGAGGCCCCAAGTAAGAGGCTTGCTAAGCTGCTTGTAAGGAGCAGAGCTGCCAGCTACTGAGACAAATTACCATACAAAAGTCTAATGTTACACTGGAGCGACTGTGCTCATGAAATGGATGATATGCTGAATATATGAACTGTACAGTATATGAAGTGTTGAGAATTGTTCAGGCACTGGTTGTACCACAACACTACAGGTGTGTTAATGTTTACCTTGCCAAGAACGACCTCAGTCATTCAGCTGGGTCGCCCACTGATGCACATGTTGATCTGCTGTTGGTCGCTGAGCAGGGAGTACGTGGAAAGGTTGTAGAGCTTGTTGGCCGACAAACAGCTTCCTGCTGCTTTCATAAACGGTGCAATTTTTGGACATAAAACCAAAACAGTGAGCTGAAAGATGCTACAACCACACAAGATCGTATACAAATCAGCGCAAAGTCCAAAATATCCTAACTTTAATTCCTAGTGAAGGCCAAGAAAAAAAACTCTCTGGTGTGTTTTCCTTAAATGTGTTTCGAACACAAGCAGACGGTTTATATGAAAAGCTTTCTGGTTCTTTGGTTGGTTAACCCTGGTGCCATCTGGGTTTTTTTCCACAGACAATAGGAATATCTCTGTACAGCAGCTGAAGTCATAGTTGTCATTTTCCCAGGCTGAGTGTACTCACGATGAGTCAGTGGACTCCTGTATAAGATGGGTCCTTTTACTATAGACATGGCTTTGATAAACTCACTGGTTAATCCTTCTTGGAGCCGGTAGGTACTGATTTCCATCTGTTACTGATCGTAGAAGGGAACTAGGAAAATTCATTCTACTTTTAGGAATACGCCAGTTCTTTCTTTGACCAACTCACATAAGTCAGATGTGACCTTTTTTGGTAAAAACTTTACTGAAGCGACCATCTATTACACTAGACTGAGATTTATCATCTACTGTACTTAAGTAGGTTTTTCATTTATAGGGTTAAAGTGGTTGAACTACTTTTGATTATGAATTCATTTATTCTCCAACCACCACACTGCAACGACAGCCTGCAATTCATCAGAAGACCAAGTGAGAGAGTCCAATTTCAGATCTCTCTGTAATGAAATCAGTAAATGCTGAATTTAAGGACTTTCTCTCATCTTACTGTTATGATGACATGACACGTTATTTGCGTGCACTGATGGATATGCCACAATCAACTCAACACACAAGCTGTATACAGATTAGTGTCTGAGTCCATCTCGACAAGATTTCTTGAATCGTGCAAACAGGCATCAGAGTCCAGCTGGCAGTCATAAAGATATTTTACTAATTAAATTTCATGTAGCATCATGTGGGAAATGCTTTTTAGAGAGTTTAGAATTGCATATGTATTGCTGTTTTATAAGAATGATGAGTTTATGATTCACACAGCATACAGGGAGGCAGCCAGACATATGGCGTTTTATTTTGTTCAGCGCTGAAATATGGGCAATCACGTCTCAGAAGACTCATTGACCGAAAGTGTGAGAAGAGCCTTTTCACTGTAATTGCTTGGCATAAAGCTGCAGGAGGGGACTTTGAATTAGATTGATTGATTGACCTGAGGATAGTCAGTGCCACTGTTTTTCTCCCAGATGGTTGTGGTCATCTTTTATAATGAATGCTGGGTGTCAGGAGGAGAGTGTGTTAGGCTTGAAAATGCCAGAGTGTGTTTCCTAAGGCTTCTCCCGTCTGTGTGTTGCTAAGCAAAACTAGATATGTTTGAGTGATTCTAGCCTTTATATTCAATCTGATCGTTTGTATTATTTCGTAGATTGAGAATTTTGAAAGTGCTGAAGGTTAAAAACGAGAATTTGGTCATAATGAAAGAGCTAAATTGTTAATTTGAGTAACCATTTGAGTAAAAATAACTGGCTGTTGGCTCTTTTCACTAAAAACCACAAATAGTGACCCCTTGGTAGCGCTGTCCCAGCCTCCTCCCACAAGCCAAATAAAAGGCGCCCCAGTCTGCTATTGATGGTTTGCTGAATGTTTTACTTGTGCGGGATATGAAAATTCATGAATTTGACATATTGGAGAGGGTGAGCACGTGTTTATTGAATGCTTTAAGTTGTCCAGTTGAGCTGTGTCATTATGGAGTGTGTCAGAAGCACCTTAAAGAAAAGAGCAGGATCATTTGAGGTTATCTGTCCAGCCGACATCAAGTCTCTCCCCTTGAGGTTGTAGGGAATCCTCTTAACCTGGGGTCATGCAGCTAATGTGAACAGTGTGCTGCCTTTGTTCTGAGAGATTATTAGAGAGAGGGAGAGCTAGTCATAAATCTTTGCGAGGTTATTTACATTTTGTGAAGCGAGCTGACACCGTGCAGCAGCGATCCTAACGTTTTGCAGGCATTTGAAAGTAGGGACATTGAGTAAAAGAGGCTATAGGAAGGATTTCTTTTTTATCCATTAAATATTCTCCTAAATCTTTGAATTCAGAACCTCCTAATAGATTAAATTAAATATAGCAGGCAGCACTTATTACCCAGTCAGCTCAGTCCACAGCAGCCACGGGAGAGCTTCAGCTCAGCGCCTACACTGCCAAAAGTCCTGAAAAAATATTTCACATTCACTGATGGCTGATGTCTCCCCCCCCTCCCCAAGCTTTTAATAGTGCATGTCAGAATTCAGTCACATTTTGTTTGTGTTATTAATGGAAATATAATATACTGTTCAGTATATGTAGTAAAAATTGCACAACACCAGTTGGTTTGGGTACACTGGTGTGGAAAATTACGTTTTGTGCTCTGCATTTTTAGACCGATGGAAAATTCCACTTTGCAGAGTGTGCAGAGACGGAACGAGCACTCCTCAGCCTGAAGAGGCAGATAATAAGCCCCGCGTCCGTGATGTCCACGACAGACTTTGTACATTCCACACTGGTGCAGTGCTTTCAGTACAACAGGGATCGCTCAGGATTTATCTGTACTTCACTCTTTTGTCAGGGCTACATCAGTACAAAAGAGCATCTTTCTTAGAACAGCAGATTATATAGTGATAAAAATGATCAAGTACACTTCTAACATATACTGTGTGTATTGTAAGGCAGCTTTATTTATATAGCACAGATACACAAGCGATTCAAAGTCACATTTAATGTTGCAGCTGATAAAGGTGGAGCTACTTTTGACTACCTACTTTTTATCACTGCTTGTATGTAGCATATTCATGTAACATGTATGTGTTAGCCCTGCGATGGATTGGCGACCTGTCCAGGGTGTACCCCGCCTTCGCCCGATTGCCAGCCGGGATTGGCTCCGGCCCCACCCGTGACCCCGTTCAGGGACTAAGCGGTAGAAAATGAATGAATGAATGAATGTAGCTGCTCAAAAGCTCCCACAGGTCTCTGTCTTCTCCACTTGTTAGAACAGGTCAACCAGCCAGCAGACTGGCATCAGGGAGGTCAGTCAGCCCTCATTACTCTTAATGGGTTTTTATGACACAGTTTTTCTTCTCATTTCAAGAAATAGTCTGTAGGTAGCGTCTCTCACAAGAAAAAGTGATGTTAGGTTTGCTTTTCTTATCGGATATTCTTCTGTCTTGGTTCTGTTATTTTGCAGCAGTGATATCTCGGAGCCATGAGGGTCCGGGGGAGATGGGCAAGGCAGTTAACATCCCCAAGGATGACCAGGAGAAAATGAAAGAGCTCTTTAAGATAAACCAGTTCAATCTGATGGCCAGTGACATTATTGCTCTCAACAGAAGCCTGCCAGACGTGAGGTTGGACGGGTGCGTAAGCTTAAGTGTCTCACAGATCCATCGCTCTACTGACCTTTAACACCTACACACACATCTAGTTTCTAACCCTCATTCTGTTTCTCTAAAACCTTTGGTATCCATCACACATTGCAGGGAACTTCATAAAAAGCTGACATTCCACTGATACTTTCTGCTTTTTGCTGTCTTTATTTTTTTTGCTCCTTAATGTTTGCAGACTTCACACACTGGTTCACACAATATTCCTCCAGCATTCAAACAACTGTGTTCAATGGCACAACAAGACAGCAGAGCTTTCTTCTCTTCTCAAAAGAGTCCCAACAAAATTGCAGACAGTGATGCAAGGCACCGTTTCTGCAGATGAAATGCTCCAATCTATCAAAGCAAAGCTATTCTGGTGATTAAAGTGAAATTTAAACTGTTTGTTGAGCCCATTAGGTGTTATTGGCATTAATAACTCTATCCAGTGTGAAAAGCATCTCTGATTACGGGCAGTGTTTTGATGCAGAATTCATCAGATCCCTCAAGTGTGTACATTAGGCCTGACATTTGAATGGGAGCAGGGTTTTGTTTACTGTCATTCAAGATCCACTCGAGCAGTTAATGAAAATCTGAGCTGCAATTTGTATGAAACACGAGCACATTCATTTCAGGCTACTGGTATTGCACAGGCATTCACTTCTCTTGGAGACATTATCCAAATGATTCATGTTTGAATATCCCAGCAGAACAGGAGTTCTCCATGGCAGTTTCATTAAGCAGATACCAAAAGCTCCACCAGGCGAATGAGAAATGGGCCACAAGAATTTTTATTTTCTCCTACTGTTGCATTCAAGTCTGTTTTCAGACTCTTCTTGATTTTTACCAACAACATACCCATTCAAGAAGTTTTAGAATGTGAAGGTGCAAATATAAACGTACAAGACCTATAGTATATTCAGCTGGTTGCACCTCCTCCAGTTTTTCTGTTAATTATGGCTTATTTTCTCAGTACATTTCAGCAGCTTTATTAAAAGAACACAGCTTAACTTTGCAAAATTCCATCATCTGAGAGGTGTACATTTTCCAGAGCCATGCAGAATTACCAGTAGTTGGTAATTGGTCAGGCCTTGCTCCCCCCTCCTCCTGCATACAGGCAGCTCAGGCCATCCACCACCTCCTCCTCATCTGTAATGCGGCTTATTCTTTATTCAACATCATCCACTCGAGCATCACACTCTCACTCTTTGGCTTTGACATCCTGTCAAGCCGACGACACGCTGACACAGTGGTGAACACTGGTTTTACTTTTTCTACTTTCTTTGTACATATTTGTTTGTAGCTCTTCAATGACAGTGTTTTTGCACTGACGTCAGCATTGGATAGCAGCAGGATACACTCAGAATCTTTTTTTGAGATGCACAGACAATAATGAGCTCCATACACAGAGAACCACTGTGACTGCTGTTCGTTCAGGGACTAAGCGGTAGATACCAGTTATTTAAACTGGGTAGGTGAGAGATAGGTTTTAGTATAAGGTTACAAATGATTATGTTCAAGCATGAGAGTTAATGCAGATGAGTTTAGTGTAGCTGCTGCTATTGGTTATTTTTAATTATTTAATTTAAATTTAGCTTTTTGTGAAATAAGTTTTATGCCTCCACGCCAGTGATGTTTGTGGAGCTAATGATGTTTTCATGCTGCCCTTCTGTCCGGCCCATTCTCATGAACACATTGTCTCAGGAACACCTTGAGGGTTTTTTTATTTTTATTTTTTAATTTGGCGCAAGCCTCCACTTGAGCTCCAGAATTGATTTAGACTTTGGTTGTCAAAGGTCAAGGTCACAGTCATCTCACATCTGTCCTATTCCTGTGAATTTGACTGGTTGGTGGAGGTCGTGGTAATGCTGGTGTCAAATGAAATCATCTCAGATTCAGCTGCTCACATGTTTAAAACATGTAGATACTGTCTGCAACCTGTTATGTGGGGTCACAAACAGACAAAGCTTTATTAAGGAGTTTAACCCTGTAAAGCCTGACACACCAATAGTAGCCAGAACATTCTAATTTTTTGGAACTGAGATGTTTATTACCTTGTTTTTGTTAAAAACCTTTTAACTAAATCCAAAATAGAATTCATGATTCAAGATTTATGATTTGTATTTGCCATATATGCATAGACAGACGGTCCAGGCATATAGGAATAGAGGTGCCATATTATTTAGATTATTTCTATGTCTTCATCTATCACATTTGATACATGGGGCATTTTTGGTGATTTGTTTTGATCAGAAACCTCACGTATCAAATATGATACAAATGGTTTTATAGGGTTAAAACTGCTAGTGTGACTTTCTTCATTTTTGTTGCATAGTGACGTTTCATAATCACACCTCATGTCATTTTCCTTTTGTCAGTTCTTTACTCAGTTACTCCTCTTTTTATCTGTTCTTGTCTCCCTATCAGCTGTAAGACCAAGGTGTACCCAGATGACCTGCCCAACACCAGCATTGTCATTGTGTTTCACAACGAGGCGTGGAGCACCCTGCTGCGGACTGTTCACAGTGTCATCAACCGCTCTCCCAGATACCTGCTGATGGAGATCGTGCTAGTCGATGATGCCAGCGAGCGAGGTTGGTGGTTTATACTGTGGCTAATGAGCAGCTCACAAAAGGTACATTCTTAGGTGTCGGACAGATTCACAGGTTTAACTCTGTAGTAGCGGATTCAGGATGTACATGTCATGGCTGATGTAAACAACGTGGGAGACAGGGCTCCGGACCAGGCTCAGCGGATCACGAGGCACAGTGGCAGTATAAGGAACAATTAAAGAAAGGCAGATTTTTACTGCAACAACAACAAATCAATATTTACTCCCTAGAGAAGATGACAAAAATGCATCAACTAAACTGACCTGAAAGGCTGCAACTAGCAACAGTCTTTGTTAGTGTTCATAGATATTTTGTAAACCAATAGTTTCTTCTAAATTATGTCAAAGTATTGATCACAGAAGGTTTAGTGATTGGTCTAAACAATTAGTTTTTTTGTTGTTGTTGTTGATTGACTAATGGATAATGTCACACCACCATCCCAGCTAGGGGTGGTTTGCACTGGAGCTCTTTTACCAAGATGTTAAAGAAGTGTGTCAATAAGCACGATTAAGTGCAAGGAGGTGGGGTTTATTAACAAATGTATGTTAACAAAAGCAATAAATAAATAAATAAATCCCCTGGGAAACTAAAAGAAGAAGCTCAAAATGAACAAAAAAACAAAAACAAAACTGCAGCTTCACAACAAGCTGCCACTCCCTTTGACCTGAATGGCATTTTATCTTCTCTGCCTCCTCCCACTGGATGGAAACGACCACCTGGTCAGGCGAGTACAGGCTGAGATACGCAAAGACAAGGCATCATGACAAATAATTCACAAACATCAATTCATCCATTATCTATACCGCTTATTCCTGAACAGGGTGGCGGTGGGGCTGGAGCACATCACAGACAGGAAATAACACAGCCTACTAACTTGTCAGTGTAATCTGTCCAGCTCGTTGGATCAGATTAACAAAACATTCAGACACCCTAATGCTGATGTAAGGGAATGGGGCCTAGTGAAAAAGAACAGAGTAGCCTTTTGACAGATCATTCCAGTTAAACCAGTGCACCCCACAGTAGCTGAAAAGTCTGTTGTCTTGTTACAGACTTCCTGAAGAAGAAGCTGGAGGACTATGTGCAGACTCTGGAAGTACCGGTGAGAATCCTGAGGATGGAGCAGCGTTCGGGTCTAATCAGAGCCAGGTTGAGAGGGGCAGCTGCCACCAAAGGTCAGGTCATCACCTTCCTTGACGCTCACTGCGAGTGTACCATTGGCTGGCTGGAGCCCCTGCTGGCACGCATCAAAGAGGACAGGTAGCAGCCAAAGCGGACCGCACTGAATGTTTGTAATATATCGTTGCTATTTAAGGTTCTAATATGAAATTATAAACACATTCTCGCGCTGTGTGATGCTGACACTGCTGATAAGACAAGATAAACATTTTGCGTCGTCTGCTTCTGGTGCTGCCTCAGAGAAAAAGCTTGCAATGCTAATTCTGCCACAACTCATGCTACTGTAGTAGATGCCAGTAGAGTCTAAACTGAACAAATTGATGGGTCCCAGATGAGTATAGTAGTAGATCTACAGGTGTTTTCTTCAGCCTAGAGTGTTTGTACGGCCTCAAGCCAAACGTGTTTATTTAATGTGACAAGGTGTTAGTGGTTGTATATTTTCAGGCTTTTACTCTGTGGTTTGAAAACAGGGTGCATCTGCTTGTGTGTGTGTGTGTGTGTGTGTGTGTGTGTGTGAGTCACATGAATAGATGGTTGAATTGATAATGATCCACCTGCAATCCATCACTTATTTGAGGTCAGACACATTCATTTTCCCTCAGGAAGAGATTGGCATCAAATGACTCGGTATATTATATTACGGAGCCATAACACTTAGCGAGGGCTGCTGCACATGTATTTGTGTCTCTGAGAATAGACAGACAGATGAGATGGTATAAAAAGTGCACAGTATGTCATATGATGGATAATGCAGTTTCAGTTTATGACATTAACATTATATCTAGTACTGATAAATGTAAGCTGTGTATTGTATTATCCTAATTATATACAGTCTTATGCAAAAGTTTAGGCACCCCTTGATAAATAACAGATTTTGGTGATTTTTTATTTGAATAGATGTTAACACAGTTTCTCTTGGAAATGGAAAAAATGCACAATATTTTCTGCAAACAGTGATGCATAGTTACTTCTTATGCCATAAATTGAACAAAAATAAAAAATAAAAACATTATTATGGCATGGTGCAAAAGTTTGGGCACCCTAAGAGTTCCAGAGTCTCAAAGTCTCTCACAAGGTTTCAGACCTTAATCAGCTCATTAGATCTGATGCACAGCAACAGCTGTCATTGGTAAATGCCAATTTCAAAGCTGTACAAATACCTTGACTCTTCAAACCTTGTGCACACACTTGCGGACACCCAGCAACCATGGGTTCCTCTAAGCAGCTGTGTAAGACCCTGAAAATGAAAGTTATTGATGCCCACAATGCAGGAGAAGGCTACAAGAAGATAGCAAAGCGTTGTCAGCTTGCAGTTTCCACAGTAAGAAATGTAATTAAGAGATGGCAGATCAGGGGAACTGTGGAGGTCAAGATGAGATCTGGAAGACCAAGAAAACTCTCGGACAGAACTGCTCGTATGCTGGTCAGAAAGACAAATCAAAACCCCCATTTGACTGCAAAAAACCTGCAGGAAGATTTAGCAGACTCAGGAGTGGTGGTGCACCGTTCCACTGTGCAGCGATGCTTGCACAGACAAGGCCTTCATGGAAGAGTCAGCAGAAGAAAACCTTATCTGCGTCCCCATCATAAAATCCAACATCTGAAGTATGCAACAGGACATCTACAGAAGCCCGATGCGTTTTGGAAACAAGTGCTGTGGACTGATGAAGTTAAAATAGAACTCTTTGGACACAATCAGCAAAGGCATGTTTGGAGAAAAAAAGGAGCAGCATTTCATGAAAAGAACACCTTGCCAACTATTAAGCATGGGGGTGGATCTATCATGCTCTGGGGTTGTGTTGCAGCCAGTGGCACAGGAAACATTGCACGGGTGGAGGGAAGAATGGATTCCACTAAATACCAGCAAATTCTGGAAGCAAACATCACACCATCTGTAAAAAAGCTGAAGCTGAAAAGAGGATGGCTTCTACAACAGGACAATGATCCTAAACATACCTCGAAATCCACTATGGAATACCTCAAGAGACGCAGGCTGAAGGTTTTGGAATGGCCATCACAGTCCCCTGATTTAAACATCATTGAAAATTTGTGGGTAGATCTTAAAAGAGCTGTGCATGCAAGACGACCAAAGAATATTACAGAACTAGAAGCCTTTTGCAAGGAAGAATGGGAGAAGATCCCAAGTACAAGAATTGAAAGACTTTTAGCTGGCTATGAAAAGCGTTTGCAAGCTGTGATATCTGCCAGAGGAGGTGTTACTAAGTACTGATTGTGTAGGGTGCCCAAACTTTTGCACCATGCCATAATAATGTTTTTATTTTTTATTTTTGTTCAATTTATGGCATAAGAAGTAACTATGCATCACTGTTTGCAGAAAATATTGTGCATTTTTTCCATTTCCAAGAGAAACTGTGTTAACATCTGTTCAAATAAAAAATCACCAAAATCTGTTATTTATCAAGGGGTGCCTAAACTTTTGCATAAGACTGTACAATATACAATACAAGGCTTCACAAATATTTTCTCTGAACACTGAATCTTTCAGGACAGCAGTTGTGTGTCCAATCATCGATGTCATCAGCGACGAGACGTTCGAGTACATGGCAGGCTCAGACATGACCTATGGTGGGTTCAACTGGAAGCTGAATTTTCGCTGGTACCCTGTTCCCCAGCGCGAGATGGATCGCCGCAAAGGAGACAGAACGCTTCCAGTCAGGTACACAAACAAAATGTTTCTTTCTCCTGTCAAGTTAAACCTAGATATGCTTTGTTTTGGCAATGTGTGTTTCTGATTTTAAAAATGAGGAGATAGGAGGGCAGATAACATTTTAAATGACACTTTTGTAAGTTCAGATGGATGTTCAGTTTTTCATCTGCACTGAGAATGGGTTTATCTGTGGTGGCAGCATGGTTAGCTTTAGCTCTTCACAAGAAGTAATCTTATGAAAAGTGCCGTTTTTATCTGTAGCTAGAAATAGATCTTTCCTCCATGTATTCCGCTGATGCAAGCAACTGCCTAAATAGAATCTACATAGCTGTGGCTTTGTGAGGTTGTTTACTTTAAAAATAGAAACTCTGCTCACACTGCAACTGCATTTTATTTAATTTTTTTGCTACACAAAACTACAGTTTGTCATCTGTATGCAAATCATACCCAACAACAAACATTGTTCTTAATTTGGAGCTGACTTTAATAGATAATAAATGAAAAGATCAAAGTAATTATTCCTCTTAAGGCTTTGTGTTAAATTTTCAAACAAATTGGTCTTTTATTCTGTTCTGAGTGCTCCTCAGAGTTACATCAAGACATTAATAAATACAGCACAAAGAGACATTACAAAAGACTTTTTATTCTTCGCTTTTTGACTTAATTTGTTGTGTGTCTCTTGCAGGACTCCCACCATGGCAGGAGGGTTATTCTCTATAGACAAAACATACTTTGAAGAAATAGGAAGCTATGATCCAGGGATGGATATCTGGGGTGGGGAGAATCTGGAAATGTCTTTCAGAGTGAGTGACCAATAAAGACGGGGATGTTTTACCTTACCTCCCTTTTAGGGAGTGTCATTACTGTGGAGGTATTTGGTTAGAAACCAAAGTGATGATGGTGCTAGATGAAAAGCTAAGGGGTTGCCCAAGTTAGCACAGTTCATCCTCGGGAGACCATGAATGTACACGGTGTATATACAGTATATGTAGAACTTTGTGGCAACCATCCAATAATCCTTGTGCTGTATCTTGTGTCTGAACCAAAGAGGTGAACTGACTGACTGGCCCCACAGTACATAGCTATGCTGCTACCATGTATTTAAAAATAATGCTGTGAATATGCATTTAAAAATATGCCATGAACATAACTGTGAATATTACACCTAGATAATAGTTCTGCCATTTGTCTGTCCCACTTCAGAGCAGCTCAGTCAGCTCAATATATTTCAGTAAAGCACTCTCCTCTTTCATTGCTGCTCCTGCTCTTAAAGTTGGGAGCAAACTGTGGTTATTGATAGATTTAATCAGTTTCTGGGTCGCCTGAAGATCAAGGAGTGATGAACAGTCAGTAAAGGGAACTGGCATGAACCAAGTGTTTTGCAAGTTCGTGCTGAGGGTATAGAGAATGTGAAGTTGGCGTCACGCTGTGTTCACGCTCATTAACAGTTGTGTGTGTGTGTGTGTGTGTGTGTGTGTGTGTGCGTGTGCCTTTGTATTACTTGCATCATGAGGACAGAAACCTGTTAACACACTCACACTGTGGGGACTTGGCCATCCTTGTGGGGACCAGAAGCTAGTCCCCGCAAGGAAATCACTGAATTTTAGGGTGCCCCTGTCCCAACATTCAACATACCTTCACATTCTCTATTTCTCTGCTTCTTGCCTTATAAATTTAACTTGTCGTTATGTGTGTGCAGGTCTGGCAGTGTGGTGGCTCTTTGGAAATTGTAACGTGTTCCCACGTGGGCCATGTTTTTCGGAAGGCCACCCCATACAGCTTTCCTGGAGGAACAGGCCAGGTCATCAACAAGAACAACAGGCGCCTGGCCGAAGTCTGGATGGATGAGTTCAAAGACTTCTTCTATATCATATCACCAGGTACAGTAGAGAGCAGTGAAACTGCCTTTGTCTGTCTGCTTCCTTCTGCCACTGGCAGAGTAGAATCAGATGTGGAAGTCTATATTAAAATGGCCTGAATTCTGCACATTTAAAAAATGACAGGTACTGTATAGCTATAGTTGAATTTAATAGATATATTATTCATTGTCCACAAGGCAGATGTGAGCAGTCCTCATTATGAAACTCCTCTTATGTGCTTGCTGACAGTGCATTTGGCAAACTGGTGTGAAAAGGAAAGACTTGTCTGTTCTCTTATAACTTTAATTGTCTTTCATCATACTTTTTCTTGCACATTTAAGAATTTATATTTTTCCTTTTACTCTGTTTTGCATTCAAATTTAATGCTGCTTTTGTCATCCCCCAAAGTGACATTAATTATTTGACAAACATTTTTAAACCTGAGTTGAGAAATTTATCAATGATGGACTTTTCTCAGACGCAGCTCAAACACACAGACAAACCAGAACAGTATGACTGTGCAGACTGAGAGATGAGTCCTCCATCTGTCGACTTAGTAATGCGATTACCCTTTAGCAGATAGCACTGTCCCAGAAATCCATGGTTAAGTGTTTTAGATGTCAGCCAACCTACAAGGGATCATCTGTAATCTGCCAATCTTATGGCACAAATTGTGACCCTCCCTTTCACTCAGTCAGGCGGGATTCTCTGTGGGTAAGTTTGCAGACAGAGCCGGGGGTGTGATGGATGAGTCTTTCTGTGTATTGTGGCCCCACAGTGACTGTCTGTTCCTCCAGGACATTAGGGAGAATGATCTGGGCCACACTTGCTGACACAGAGGAACACAGTTTGTTGCCCAGGCCGAGTTTGGGAGTGGCATCCACTGAGCCTATTAAAAGTGCATCTCCTTTCTCATCCCTCTGCTGATTTCAAGATCAAATTTGCTACTCATCATCTGCAATGTGCGATGTTCAGAGAGGGAGAAGGGGAAATAGAGATCTAGGCGAGGAAGAGTGGTCTTCAGTTGATTGCTGCCAACTTGAAATTTCTATTTCCCAGAGATGTTATTATTAGAGAAGTGGCTGTTTGCACTGTCTGGCTCGTTTTTGATGAATAAATAAACAGCAGTGCTCTTGCATCTTGGCTGATTTTTGAAAATTGTATTGTATTGTATTTTCTTGTAATGCAGTTATGTTCCTTCATAATAAATTACCACCCCCAGATCTATCTACATGCAAGCTCAGAGTCTCCAAGAGAGACTCTGGGGAAAACCATCTGCCTAATGTGTTTGTAAATGTGCCCTGCCGCTGTCTAATCCTTCATCAGGCTTCAGTTGGCTGAAACATCAGGCAGTTACCTTTTTGTTTGACTTTTCATTATATTCCTCTTCATATAAATCAGGTAATTTATGCAAAACACCCTGTATTTTCAGGTAAGGACACAAAGTTGTTCTTTATTAAGGGTCCCTCTGGTGTTAAGTTTTAGTGGTGCAAGAAAGCAGGACTACCCTTCTATTTTCAGGACAAAAGCCAAGTAAATACTAAGGGAAATACTGACTGACAATGGTCACTGATACATATAACTGAATCCAGGTGTCTGCATTTGGTCTGCAGGTGTGATGCGGGTGGACTACGGAGATGTTTCTTCCCGTAAAGCCCTCCGTGAAGCCTTGAAGTGCAAACCATTTACTTGGTATTTGGAGAATATCTACCCAGACTCCCAGATCCCAAGAAGATACTACTCACTTGGTGAAGTATGAGCTTTCACATACTCTGACCCATTCAATCAGATACCGTATGTCCTTGTGGCTTCTGGGCTGTGCTTTCAGAAAGCCAGTAGTGCTGCAGTACACACCTGAAAATCTCAGGATCCAGCAAAGGCTGAATGACACGGGATTAAAAACAAACATCCCTGCCTGTTCATACTGAACACGTATGATAACCAAAAGAATGTTCGTGCTGTGTGCGTTGATCCAAGTCACATGTTGACACGGCTGTGTATGGTTGGGGCGGTGAGATAAGGTTCATGCATATATCCTGCCAGTCTCATGACAGTTTTATATTGCGCTTGAGCTAAAATGAATTTCAAAACACACAAAAGTTCAAACATGAGTCATAGTCTCTCACAGACAGGGCTGTAAATTATTTCCCAACAAGCTATATATTTTGTTGTAGAAGATACGGATTCACTTTGCTATAAATACATTAAAACTGGGGGAATTTTTAATCAGATGCTTCAGTGGGCAGAGATGGAACTTGAGCGTGGTTCATGTAGACATTATTAAAAAGGGGATTTGGGAAACTGATCATTTGTAATTAAGGTGTGAGAATTCATAGATAAAAAAAGTTTCGGTTCCTTTTTATTAGTTTTGGAAGTTTTTTGTTTCTTTTTATTTTAGGAGACTTAAATGTATCTCTTGGTGCCCATGAATCCGTGTCAACAGCATGTGGTAAAGGCAGCGCCGACATCCAGCATGTGTCTGAACAATAGGCAAAGGCCATTTAAAAATGTCAGTTGAAAAATTCATGGTTAAAAGACCTTGTAATCCTCCAACACTCATATAACCGAGGATGAGAGGATATTTTTATCTGTGCTGTACTGCAGCTCTTTAGCCGCTGCAGCACCTCAGTTCAGGTCTTTCTCTAAACCAGACGTCTCTTGACTGCTTCTCATCCTCCCTGACACATAGTCGACCTCTTTTTAACAGCTGGAACCATTAGGTTTTATATCACTTCATTATGAACCCTGTTCTGTTTCTGCATGATGGGCATGTTAAGTAAGGCATCACATGGAGCCAGCTCAGCTTTACTTCTGTGAATGTATGAGTTCATTAGAAAGCTGAGTTGACTGTAAAATCAGTAGAAGCTCTGATAACAGGGGCCGCTCTGAAGTCTGCAGTTGGGTCATTTTTGCATTGCTGCTATAAAAGTGACATTAAGTTGAGCTTGGATTAAAATGGTGACAGTATCTTTTTTCATGACTTTAGGGCTGCAACAAACAATTATTTTCATTATTGATTATTTTGTCTATAAAATGTCAGAAAATAGTTTAAACAATGCCCCTTATATTTCTTTACTTTCCGGCTGGGAGATGACGGCTCTACCCCAATCAAAATCAGAATTTCCATCAAACCAATCATCAGCATTAACAGTATCTTTCCAGCTCAGTGCAAGACAACATAAAACATGTAAATTCTGAATGCAATGCCGGAAAATACCACAATACTACAACTGAAACAGTAGCATTAATCAAGATAAGATACTGAGCAGCGTAATACGTTATTTGGAAAGGTGGGCTGGGCTGATGTCAAGTAATAAATACATGGTTTTATGGATTGTACCCAAGCTTGAATAAAACTTTTAGATGTGAGATTAAATATAATTTGGATTTGCAAATGTCTGACCAGATTAAAATAAATTTTGAAAATTGAGTAGCAGTCATAATTATAAAATTAAACAAGAGTCATGTTGGTTAAACTTTTTACACCTTGTTCTTCTTAGATCAGAAATGTTGAAACCAACCAGTGTGTGGACAACATGGGAAGAAAGGAGAATGAGAAAGTTGGCTTTTTCAACTGTCACGGCATGGGCGGGAACCAGGTGAGGAAAGCAATGTTCAAACTGAAAACTTTTATAACATTTGTAAATGGAATAATTAATTTTAAATTAACATTCAACCTACAGAGCCTTTGGTATCTGTTTATTTTACATGAGCTTGAACACAATCAGGTTGGATGTAAAGCGAATACGTACTTTATATACATATGCGTCAACTTTTTAGTCGGTCTAGATTTTGAGTACATTTTAAGTCTGGATTTTTTCCTTCCCACTTTATGATGTGGGTTATTCTGTAGTCATCTGTCAGGGTCTGAGAGAGTAAGGACCCAATACAATGAGAGGATAACCAGACTTTAATGAGATAGCTGAAAATGAACTATATAGAAAAATGGTACAAAACTAAATGGCAAAGGAAAACAAGCTAACACAGGAAAACAAACCCTAGGCAGCTACTGTACATATGACAAAACAAAAAAATAAACCCAGAACTGACTAAACCTATAATGGGAAACTAAGGGAATAGAAAATGAACAGCAGAGTCAGGGAGCAGATAAAGGCAAAACCTAATAACAAGAGGTTATTACAGGATTCGACTAAGTGAACATGACAAACCAGATACATGGGGAAGAAAAAGATCCCATGTAAAACAGAGTCCATAAACAATGGAGGGCATGACAGGATGAAACACAGGTGAGGAGGCCAGGACAGGAGTGAAAAACCAGCAACCAGATGGAGCGATGTGAGGTGATTATAAAGGCTGAACCAGGGAGACAAACAAGTAACAGGTGAAAGCAATGAGGGCAGTCAATAACTGTAAAGTTGGTGCTGGTGAGATGGCAAGAGACAGGAAATGAATACAAAAAACCAGGACGTTTGACTAATATCATGACATCATGGGCATGTTAAGGTTTATGCCAAGAATGTGGGTGGTTTTAGGGCTAAACATTTTTCTCTTTTTTTCTTACAACTCTTGATGTGGCATGTTGTGTATAGCTACACAGAATCTAAATCAAATCTTCTCAAAGAAAAACTTGAAGAGTGGCAGTTGAATACTAAGAACAGTGTATAGCACTGAATCTGAATAAGATTCACAACACAATGAAATGATGAAGAAAACCTTTATGTGCAAATTATTCACATACAGTATCATAAAGACTGTCAAGCACAGTTGTGGTGTACATTTTTGAATGCAGCCCGATGAATAACTGGTGTTGAGTGAGATATTTTGTTTCCAGGTGTTCTCGTACACAGCAGATAAAGAAATTAGGACAGACGACCTCTGCCTGGACGTCTCCCGCCTCAACGGGCCTGTCGTCATGCTCAAGTGTCACCACATGAAGGGCAATCAGATGTTCGAGTATGATGCAGAGGTAGGACCTGCATTCCTCAGCTTGGATGAAATGCTGATGTATTGTGTGCCTGAGTTATGAAGGTTTGGGTAGGAGGAAAAAGGAGTACCTGTTTCCTGCCACTAGGTGGTGCTGTATGTCAGTTCTATTCAGCGAAACTGTCTCTCACGCTCTCTTCTTTCACATAGTATGTTGGCAAGTGGGAATATGATTTTGAGGTAAGCTCTTAAAACCATTGTTCCTGAATATTGCCACATAGTTTCAGTCCTGTGTTCCCAGTATCGTGATAATACTGTATATAACAGTGTGTGGACTGTGACGTGTCGGTGTTATTAGAATATATTATTTAAAAGTTGTTGTAGACCAGATCTATTTTGCTAAAGGAGTGAAGTTGAGTCTGAAGTGGATTTTTACCCTAGCACATTTTTTTTTAAACCATCACTTTCTCTGAAAATTCAGCAAAGCAACAAACACCTATAAAATTTTGCTTCACAGTCAAAACTAATCTAGAATATCTGTCCCTTCATAATCAAACAACAATTGTCCAAGTCATTTACAGTAAACCAGTGACGAGACAAACAAACCAAACATCAGAGCTACAAAAAATTAAGTTAAAACAAAAAACTTTGTCCTAATGTTTGTTGATGTTGTGTGTTTTATTGTAGACCTCTTGGCCTGTAACACACACAACAAACAAATGTGTGAGTGGGTCTCAGTTTGTTCATTTGTAATACTGAAGCACAAAAATGAAAAGCTAAAATTAGATGAATGACGGTGGTAAAAATAGCATATTAAACAGGAGGGATTTGCTTTTCTTTCTTTGTGGTTATTCCAGCTGTAGCAGGCTCTGAAATTGGAAACGGACATTTTGAAGCTCACAGGAGAACTAACACACCCTGTTGACTCAAAGTCCAAGTATATTATGGAACGATCAACTCAAAAAACATGTCATATTAACAATTTATTGCATTTTTAACCACAGGGAGGAAGCTAGAATGCACCGAATACATCGTCTATCTGTGATTAAGTTGTTCTGCTGAGAAGCAGATACTGTATGACAAGGTGGGGACACCTGCAGGTCTCTCTGTCAAGAATTAGACAAACCCTAGGAGAAATCCTTTCATTACACTTTGTTCTCTGGGTGAATTCTGAACATGAAAAATGAATAATTTATAAACGAAGAGGACTGGCCTCTGTTGTAAACAGCACTGGGGTTTCTTCGCTGTCGGTTATCGAGGGTATTTTTAGAGCAGGTGTGATGGACGGGCTGAGTCCTGTGTGACTACAGTACCATTAACATTTCATGTGGTCATCAGTTTCACAGGAAAACCTGACTTTTCCATATTCCTGTTGTACTCGTTCGCGATTGTGACAAACTGCCTTCCTTCTTTTTCACCTGCTTTGCTGTTTCAACCAGGAATAGGCAGTTTGCCCCGGCCCCTCGCCGTCAATCACACATGAATGTACCAGCTACATACGGTCAGAATTATTCTGCAGGTTATCCAGCTACACTTGTCAGTTGGGTTTAGGGTTTGTGTTAGTGCAGTAGAGGCTGTAATTTCATTACTGTGCTTTTCCAACTGAGAGTTGTCAGGTTGTCATGTCTGCTTCCCAAACGTCAGCCCGGTGTCTTTGTGTTTTTACCTTTTTAGTATTTCAACTATGCATTACCTAATGCGCCTGGTGGACAGATGCACTGCAGTCACATTAAAAAAAAGAAAAACGTATTCAATTTCCACACACTGTCAGCAGGTTTCTGTCACAGCTGTTCATGAGACATCAGATGTGAAATTACATGTTTATGTGAATGTTCACATCATTTGACATGGAGAACACTCCCATGTTCTTGCCATTGGTGCCTGTATGATTTTATTAGTTTTAAAGGGGAAACACTTCTGACAGAGTTGTCCATGTGAGGATTGAAATATTGTGCATAGATAGTATATAACACTATATTCATTACATTTGGGTTTAATTACATTGAAACACAGTTTGACTGATATAAAGGATCCATATTTGTGCTTTGAGATTTGGTTCACTTTTTGATTTGCTGTTTCAGTCTAAGACAGTTTAAATATGTATTGTTTTATATTGTAGTTTCAATGCTGGACAAAGGCCCATGATCAAAATGCTATGTCTCTGATAAACTGTGCTGACAGTGTGCAGGACCTTCAGCGATTTCTCTCACAAGTTATGAATATTTCAGATACTGTACTTCATGACAGTGCAGCAGAATTGTCAGGGTTTTTTTTTCTAAAGGTCAGGTTTTGAATACCTTAAATGAACTGACCTGTCAGTGAAGCTGTCACATCTCATTGGCTTGGGAAAAACTGGCTCTGAAGAACAGACGGACAACTTGACGACTCTCGGACTTACCTTCACTGCCATCTGTCCTTCTCACCCCTGGCTCGCTGCAGAAGCACACCTTCCTTCACATCATCACCCAGTCATGTCTGACCATCAGCCGACTGGAGGATGGCACCTACGCCCCGACGGTGGAGTACTGTAACAACAGCCCATTACAGGCCTGGATCCTCCACAACTACACTAGACTGGAGGTCGCTAGACACCTCTACTCCAGTCCCACTGACTATTTTCTCTAAGCTTCCCATCTGCTCTGGTGGACTTCAGGTCCTGAGGGGGGCAGGTCAGTACAAATCAGGTTTAGAGTGGAAGTTGGTGTCGTTTTAGTTGCTTTCTAGTGATGTAGTTCAGCTTCAGTAGAACCTGAAGTGGATTAGTTGGAACTGTTTGGCCTTTAATAAGCACCTTTGTAGTTGATTGTCATCCCTGTTAGAATTTTTTTTTTGTTTTCGTCAATGAGCACAGATAAATGCAGAGCTTGGTGCCATGATGTTGATCTTTCAGTTATTACTGAGAATATGCATGCAAATTCTTTTAGGAAGCATTAAGTAGCTTTTACCGATGACCTTTCACAGAAGAGCCACGAAGACAGATGTCCCATCAGGATAGTTGTGTATAAGATACTATCTGCAAGACCTTTAACCAGTCTTCATGTGAAAGTACATATCATTCAACATGTATTTTTCCAACATAATTATTTTGTTTTGATGTGAAAATTCACTGGCTGACTGTCAGCTCTTGGTGAATGATGCCTGAGGTGTTTATTTTTAGCTCATAATCTACATGCAAGGCTGATTGAAATGAGCTTGCTATTGTTTGCAAGTTCTTTTGAAGTGATCCTCCATTGTGAACCTACCTTTCATGGCCTTGGCCTCTCAGGCTACTCTCCTGTTGGCCTGAAGCAGCTGTGCACACCATGTGCTGTGTACATATTGTAAAACCAGTGAATTCCAATTCAGTGCTTTTCACCCCTCGGCCTGCTTATTTACATTTTTTTTTTTTTTTTGTAAGGAGTTTTTTTTTTCCTCAGCATTTCTGGCTGTTTCAGGGTTGTTATTTTCCTGCCGTTTCCTGTCACAGTGCCTGTCTGTTATTTTCTGTGCAGCCAGTCCTATTCTGCTGAGTTATCCAGAATATGCCCCTCAGAGTCCCGTCCTCTTGTATTTTTGAAAAAGCTAAATAGCGATTTCACTGTAGCATGCTACAGTTTTGTGTCCAAGCACGGTAAATTGGGTAAGGAGCTCTCGGGGTCACTGCTGTGTGTCGGACTTGCGGCAGTTAAGCAACCTGCTGTTAGATGACCTGATTTACTGTTTAAATTCAGAGGTGCTTTTGGCATAGGCGGCACAAGAGGAGAGCATATATGAAAGAGCAGGGCACCGTTAGAACAAATGAGATTGTTGCCTGACTCGGCCTTGAGACAAAAGGAATCTGCTGTTTTTGTGTTTGCCCACAAAAAGCACCTTAGCCCTTTACTGTAGTTCTCCTTTCAGAGGCAACAAAACATGATGACAAAGAGGATAATGTTCCTCGACCGAGGCTTACAGTTAAAACCATCCTCATTTAATTAGCCTGTCTCTGCTGTGCACCCACTGTGACTTGCTTCAGAGACACGTCTTGGCTTGCTGGCAGGATGAGATGGGAGTTTTCTCTACCCCAAAGGAGGCTTGAAATAATTATGAGCTAAGGACAGGACCTACACATTTCTAGTATTTTCATTAAATGTGGAACAGTTTTTTAACCCTCCACTGTTAAACTCCTCTCCTGTCACCTCCGTCACTATGCTCCGATCTTTGAATGAAACGGAAACGTACTACTTTATGATTTGTAGGTCAGCTGTGCCTCTGGCTCTGAGAAGTTCCATGTGTGACTGCATTTTATAAGGAGGTATTTGCTGACCATAAAACTATGAAGGGAGAACTACCACATGATCTCTGTGGTGGCTGCTGTTAAAAATAGATTTATTTATTTTTTTAAAGCAGGAAGAGAGTTATTGTTCTTTAGTTCTTGGCAGGTGTGTAAGGTTGAACGGCACCTGCTGTCTTTGTTCTTGGTCTGTTTGAACAAATGTGCCCTGTAAGGCAGTCTGCAGTGTGTACTTCAGGAATGGTGTGTGTGTGTGTGCACATGCATGCACATGCACACACTTGTTTTTATCCAGGCAGACGGTGTCAGGCCCTTGTGTTTTATAGCTTAAGATCAAACACGCCAGCATCTTTGTGTGCTCGTTAGTCTGAATATCTTCTGTCAACAGTCAGAGCACAGGCTTGTTTTAATGAAAAACTGTCTCAGCTGTAGGATAAAAAAAAAAAAAAAACCATGCCAATGCACGTCTTTTGTTGCCACATGCAGGCTGTGGTTTGTAGTCTCAGTATAACACGGTACAGATTTGTGAAACTGAGGTTATCTCAGATTTTGTTATGAGTTATCATGCATGTTTCAAGTCTGAACACCGAACCGAGCTTTATTTTCAAATTCTTCATATTTATAGACAGTCGAGTGCTTTATGGTGCCTTGTAGCATCCAACATAATTTAATATCCTTCCCAATTTATCTCACAGCATTGTTTTCCTCAGTTGACATTCGACTTCTCCTTACAAACCAACTTCAGTTCCTCTGCTTCTTTTCCTGTAATCATTAGGACAAGAAAAGCAACTCAAGTGATGGACGAAATGGCGGAAGTCTGTTACTTATGAACATAAATGGTTAATCAAGCCTATTGAGAGCAGGCTTCCAGTTGTTAGTGGGGGTCTCTGGAGCCTTCGTGGCAGATAGCCACAGTTTTCTATGCTACATGCTCTTGTGGTGCTTGAGTTCATCTAATCACAACAGGTGTTTTTTTTTTCCTAATGTGGACATTTTAAAAGGAATTTTTCTGTCCTCTGGCTTTTCTGGTTTAGGTGTTAGAACGGTACACAGATGGGACTGATGGGGGAGAAGGGACAATGAGTGGAGTGGAGCAAAAGAAAGATTTGGGCTCAAAATGTTATGAGGGTTTCCTACTACAGAGTGAACCAAAAAAAATCTCAAAACCATTTAAGTTGTTCTTTAAAAGATAAAAATCACTCCCAAGGTTATAGACATTTAAGCCCATATGTTATAAATATTGATTGTATTGCCTGAGCACTTGATAAGTATCACAAAACCATTGCGACACAATACCTGATACCGGGGCCATTTGCACAGCAGACATTTTGACTTGTCATAACGTATTAACAACGGTTGTCTCGGTAAGCCTTGACGTGTGACAGCCAGCAAGAGCAACACCAGGTCCCTGAAACAGGAAAGTGCTATTTATTTTCACAAAGCAGGTCAATTTATTGATCAGTCATTGTCACCTGAGCTGAATCTCATAGATTCTGACACATCTCATTTCATGTCGGTTTAGTTCCTAGATGATGATGTATGGTGTGTGCTGTTGTGTCTGTGCTCATTTTTCTAAAGGTAATGTTATCAGAACACTTCCACAATACCAAGGTTGTCCCTCATTTGGAAGCAGCTCCTCCACAGCGATGAGCAGCAATGTTAATTTTGCTTTCAGTTACTGTATGTGTGTTGCTGTTATGCATAGTAATGACATAAATATGTCGACATGTCACAATACTGTTACTATCTTATATCATGTTAAGACTCATACCAGTATTATCATAAATGATAAAATATGGTTGCATTAATTCAAAGGGATGACATTCATGTATCTTATAGACTGTGTGCATTTAATGAGAGAATGATGTTGATTTGCAGCTTCTTTTTGCTACAAAAT